ATAACATTCAAACTTTTTCAATAATCAAATCAATTGAACATTCAGACACACCATCTTGCTGTGAAGTGTGAGGCAGGGTTGATTCTCATTTAATACCCTCACTCATCACATAGGCAGCTACAGTGTTTGAATTCAACTCACTGCAGTCAGAGTGAATAATCACAACACTGTGATTGAGCAGATTCTTCATAAATTGATTGAAGGTCTGTATATATTTTAGAGTTTTATTGTAGTACTTCAATAGAAAGATTCACTGCATTTGTGTGGCATCATCAGTGATCATCACTGTGAGCTTCTTACCCATATAAGATGATGTATCTTCTTCATTATCAAGCATTTCTCCACCCTCAAATAGGTTCACTCAAATCTTAAGATCTTTGCAGATGGCACAGTATAGTGAAGTATTTTTATAACTTGCACATTTATGCTTGACTTTAACATATGTGGTGCAGAATGATAGCTTCTTTAGATTGATGATGGCAATTTTAAAACAGAGCTTCTGTGACATTTTAATTAGATTCTTCTCACTGATATGACTCAATCACTAATGCCACTCATCAATCAGTAGCTGCTTTAGCATAATAGTGAGGAGTCAGATTGATGGGGATAAAATGAAGATATCAGTATTCAGATCCTTCAGATTAATTAGCTGCTCTACATCATCACAATTGAGAAGACCCAGTGATGCAGCATTCAGATCATAATCTATTGAAATCATCCTGGGCTTTAGAACTATCAAGTATGCCAGTGGTCCAAGCTCCAAATCATTCATAATACCCCAAACATAAAGAGAATATCAGATAGAATATATATATTATTGGAATTCAAATTCACATAGAAGATATTATTTTCTGTATATGCTATTATCTCGAAGTTATTTCCAGTATCTACCTGCAGATCACGGTGAAAATAGCTCTGGCAGTCCAATAGGCCAGTGGATATGAGGTTGGCAGATAAGTCTGGCATCAAATAGACATGGCCAAATTTAAGTAATCTTTCTCCAACTGAGATGGAGGTGACTTTGATCCTTTGAACCTTCAAAGTAGTCTTATTGACCACTTGAATTGTAGAGCTGCTAATCTTCATTATTTGGGAAAATTATGATTGATCATATGCAATATGACATCCAGCTCTGCTATCTCATATGGTGAGTGAGTTGGTGATTAATTCAGCAGAGTACACAAACACCTCAATGACCTGCACTAGATTCATCATTTGAAATGTCTCAGAGCTGCCATTTGCAATTGGCAGAGTTTTTTTACCCTCACTACTCTTCTTATTATTATATTTTTCTATTCTCACTGTATTGTTGATCTTTCATTTTTTAGAAGTGCTATTCAGATTGACTGCTCAGCGAAGCTCATCATGATAATGCTCATATTCTAGGCAGATTGAGAGGACAGAATTTGAACATCTATCTGTTCAATAGCCTCTGCATCCCCTGGGTTGACCCCCACAGGCTGAATTATTTTGAACATTGCTGCTATTATTGGAACCTGCAGCTGCATTTTCAGTCTGAGCTATGTTGACTGAAGAATTAACTGCTTGGACAGCTTTCTTAACCTCTTTGAAAAGGTTCAATCAAGAGCATATTTCCTCCATGATTGAATGAACATCCAATATGACAGACTTCAATTTGAACTCTTGTACCTCTTCAATTTTCTTTTGCATGTAGTTTCATCATATATTGAGAAGTACAGAATAGAACATGTGAAATACCTATAAAGAGTTGAACCTCTAGATTCGCTCTGACTGGCTGACTCAGCCTAGCCATCATTTGCACGTGTACACGTGATCATGCTATGTGAGCTTGCTTAAGCTCAAGTTCTTGTCTCATTCTTTTCTTCCCTTTCTCAAGCAATTCATTCTTTTTATATAGGAGGACTAGCCTCTAGTTCTTAGAGCTTAACCCTTTACATTATGAATTGCTTCACTCCTTTCATTGATAGGCCACTGGGAGCCTTAATTCTGTATCATGAAGCTCAGCAAACATGCTGACATATGATAGACTATTGAGAGTCTTAAATCCTGCATCATGAAGTTCAGTGATAGCACTGGTATATGAATAGACTGGGTTAGCAATTGTGCTAACAAATGAATGAGCAACATTGAAAATATCTAGCTGAACAAGATAAAGTGACAGACTTGTACAACAAATACACAAATGAATCAATATGAAGCAATGAGTGGGGATGCCCTTAGCAGCTTTGAACAACAATGAATGATGTTTCTTCAACAGCAGAAACAGGTTCAGCATGAGAACAGAGATTTAATAGCAGCTCAGCAAGCTGAAATAGCTAATCTATGACAAGCTTTGAACACTCTGACATCAACTCTCTCTCAATTGAACTCACAATCATCTATTGCAGTCAGAAGATCAAAGACCAAGCTGCTGAACTGCAAGAAGTATAATGATTCTAATCTGAAGCACTATCCTCAGTGGGAGCTAAAGCTTCAATCAAAACTTAAGATCGATGGAAAAGCTTTAGATAATAATGAGGAATGTGTTTGATATGTGTACTTGAGACTGAAAGAAATGACAGCAGCTTAAATTTACCTCTGAGTTGAGAATAATAAGAACAAGATTAACTTCATGATAGAGAGCTTACTGAAGCAGATGCACATGCTCTTTAGTGATCTCACATGATAGAAAAAGACTATGCAAAAGCTCAACAATCTATGACAGAGTAGAAGAGCTCTCTTTGACTTTCTGCTTAAATTTAATCAGCTACTGCTGGAAGCTGATGGTCACAGATGAGATGATCACATTAAAAAGAGGTATTTAAAATCCACTCTAAGCATGGAGCTGAGGGAAGGCATGATGGGTATAAGAGAATCATCTCTCTACAAGAATTACTGCAAGAAGCTTAGATTAGTTGATCATCAACTCTCTGAGCTTAAGACTTTAAGGCAGTGATCTAAAGATCATGAGAACAGATCTTCTTTATATTATATAATGTCTAATCCATATTCTCTACTTTGTCATGCTGTTCACAATTGATGAAATCAGTCTTAAGCTTCTGCTGATGATCTGATGGATCTCTCTTCTAATGCTGTGACCTCAAATGCTTATCATATCAAATTGATAAATTAGACAGAGGTTAATTGAAGAAGAGAGCAAGACCTATGTCTGAGATGCAGAGCTGAAGGTCATATAATTAAGAGCTGTCTGTTCAAATCTCTCAGACACTCTGCCACCCCCACAATAGCTAAGGTGGTCTCCAAGCTGGTGCTGAATGATGATGATGTGAATATGAGTGAGAATTCAGGAAAAAGAGTAGCTTCAATCAAAAGACACTAGAAGAAGTGAAATAAGAAGCTTATGAAGAAGTAATGAAGAGGATTTAAATCTAAGATGATATTCAAACCCTTCACTGTTGATGCTCTAGTAGATAATGCCTCTTCAACTAAAGCAATGATAAACAGTAGATGTAATGTCTATGATCTTATTACTCAATTCTACATTAACAAGCATAAGCTCCTGTGTATTGAAATTTTCTCTGTTAAAATGACTAGCTTTGAAGACTTCATGAGACTCTTCATGAGCATAGTGACTAGCATTCAAATTGATATAGATAGTCATGTAAGTAAATGAGCCTTTCTCTACATGGTGAATGGGTTACATGATCATGATATATATCTAGGTGACCTCTGGCTAGCCCAGCAAAAGATGACTATAATCCCTTATTGAAGAATTGTGAGATTTGTAGAGAATGACATAGAGATAGAGCCTAGTTCAAACACAAAAGCTAATGTGATTTCCATCTCTGCTGTAAGCTTCTCTAGGCTTGTGAGCACTTGAGAGAAGTGAAACATTGAGATCTTCACTGTCAGTTTAACTGACATTCAAAAGACTCTAGAAGTGAAATCAAAGATTGACCCTAGAGAAAAGTTGTCTGAACATTATCATGAGTTTTTAGACATATTTGATAAGGAAGCCGCTAACACTCTACCTTCACTTTGTGGCCCAGGTAGAGATCATGAGATTGAACTGACTAAAAAGGCTGATGATAGTGTGGAACAACCCTCTTGGGGCCCACTATATAATATGTCTTGAGAGGAACTACTGACTTTGTGAAAAACTCTTATACATTATCTAGATAAGGGTTTTATTAGAGTGAGCAACTTCTCTGCAGCTGCCTCTGTACTATTTGCAAAGAAGTCTGAAAGTGAGCTAAGATTCTGTGTAGACTATCAAGCTCTTAACAAAATCACTCAAAAGAATTGATATCCTCTATCATTAATCAGTGAGACTCTACAGTGAATTGGACAGACTAAGTGGTTCACTAAGCTGAATATTATTGCAGCTTTTCACAAGATTCAAATCATGGAAGGTGATGAGTGGATGATGGCCTTTAGAACCAGATATGAGCTATTTAAGTGACTGATTACACCTTTTGGTTTTGCCAATATTCTGAGTACATTTCAAAAATATATCAACTGAGCATTATGTGGATATCTGAATAACTTCTGCTCAATCTATTTAGATGACATCTTGATATTTTTCTCAAGAAGCTTACAGGAGCATCATGAGCATGTACAAAAGATGCTTATATGTCTATGAGAAGCAGGCTTGCAGGCAGACATCAGAAAGAGTGAGTTTGAGATGAACAGCACAAATATCTTGAATTCATCATTGAAGTGAGCAAGAATATACAAATGAATTCAGAGAAGATTAAAGCTGTTTTGAAATGAGCAATATCTACTACTTTTAAAGATATATGTGTTAGGGAGCGAATGCGAGCTGCATAAGAAGAAAGACTCTCTGCGTTGCTAACTGCTATATAACGAAATACTAAGCTTGATGGGATGAAAGGGGGTGCTGGGGGCCTGCGTGGATTATAACCACCTGCATGGTCGTGTGGTCACGTGATATGGATTAGGCCTAATCGGGCGCCGAGCTTAATCCGACGTCGAGTCTAACCGGGCACCGGCCTTCGGTCGGGCTCGGTCGGACGCTGAGCCTAACATCACCCCCCGGTCTAGGGGCAGGCATGTCCTCATGCCGGTAGGTCGTCATCAACCTCGTCCTTCAGGTAGCTGTCTGTCTCCCATGCCTTCAGCCACTCATCTAGTCGCCTTGGGGGTCCAGCTTTTGTAGGGTTAGCCTCATGGAAGTCGCGTATGGCGTGTGGTGATCCTTTGAAGTCGCGAGCGGGGTACCATGAAGAATCCTCATCAAACCCCTTCCAGCGCACCCGATACTGCAGCTTGCTCCGGCTTATTCTACTGGCCAGTATACGATCTATTTCCCATTCATTCTCACCATCTATTTCAATTGGGTCTGGTGGTCTGATAGTCTGGCCAGGTAGAGGGTCTCTGGAGTCCTTGCGTAGCTTGTCTGGGGAGAAGATTGAATGAATTTTCATTGTTATGGGGAGGTCCAGTTTGTAGGCATTGCCCACCTTTTCCAGGATTCTGAAGGGGCCGGCATTCTGCTCTGCCAGTTTACGGCTTGGTCGATCCATCTTGTATGATTTCAATGTTAGATAAACAAAATCTCCTACTGCAAAGTCAGGCTCTCGATGGTGCTTGTCAGTCTGCCTCTTCATCTGTTCCTGTGCTGTCTTTATGCCTTTACTCGCCTGGTTCCAGATCTCTCTCATTCGGTGAATGAAGCTCCTTGCTGCTTCTCGATTTCTTTTCTCATTCATGTCCAATTTCTCCGCCAGTGGTTGCCAGTCAAATGACATTCGGGGTTCATATCCATTTGCTGCGAGGAAGGGGGAGATCCCTGTGGAAGCGTTTGGGGTAGCTGCGGAGGCATGGTCTATAATGGGCAGCCACTCATCCCAGTCGTCTTGGTAGTAACTGACATAGGGGCGAAGACGGGTGGCAATGTATTGATTCACCACTTCTGTCTGTCCATCAGTTTGTGCATGATGCGCCGTTGAGAGTTTCAGTTTTATGCCCAGGATCTGTGTAAACTCATCCCAAAAGCTTGATATGAACTGGGGGCCTCGGTCAGAGACAATTGAGTCAGGCGCCCCATTGTATGAATAGTAGAATCGAATGAATAGTCGGGCCAGCTCCTGGGCTGTAACTCCCCGGGTGGTTGGAATGGAGATTGTCTTCTTGCTTAGCCGGCATACTATGACCAAAATGGCATCATAACCTGTTTTGCTTTTCGGCACGTCCATGAAGTCCATTGCAATATGCTGCCATGCCCGTTCTGGTATTGGTAATGGCTTTAGCAAACCAGGAGTCTTATCTCTTGGAATTTTACTGATCCGGCACACATGGCAGTTCCGAATATAGCGTAGGACGTCTGTCCGCCAGGTGGCCCACCAATAGCGTGATTGCACCAGGGCCAGGGTCTTTCGTCCTCCAGGGTGTGCTGTTGAAGCTTGATCATGAATTTCCTGCAGTAGCTTGGCTATCAGGGTTTCCTTTTCCTGAACAGGCACCACTAGTCTTCCATTGTACCGTAGCACATTGTCCTCCATTGTATAGGGACTATTCTCATCATCTGCCTGCTGCCGCAGGGGCTCAATTGAGGTGGCTGTCTTGTTTAGAGACACTATGCATTCAGCAATGCTCTCTTTCTCTGAGGAGTTGATGCTAGCAATGTCTGTAGAGGGAGTGATCTGGGGGTCGAGGGTCTCTGGTCCTAGGAGGATCTGCATACGGCCGTCCTGTTGCCTTCTAACCTGCTCAGGCCTGCTCAGTGCGTCTGCTAGCAGGTTGGCCTTGCCTGGTCGATACTTGATCTCAAAGTAGAAACGGGAGAGGAACTCTGCCCAGCGGCTTGACGTGCATTCAGCTTCTTGGTAGTCATGAAGTATTCCAGTGCACGATGATCAGTGAGGATCTTGAATCGTTCCTCCCGTTGTAGTCCCTCAAGCTCTGCCCGCCATTCTTGTAAGGCCCGGACTACTGCCAGCATTTCCTTATCATGAACTTCATAATTAAGCTCTGCACCATTCATTGTCTTTGAATAGAAGGCTACTGGGTGCCAAAGGTCATTTTCAAATCTTTGACTTAGTACCCCAGCCACTACTCCGTCAGAGGCGTCAGTCTCAATACGAGTCTCCCGCTCAGGGTCATAGTAACGCAGTGTTGGAGCCTCCACCAGCTGCCTCTTCAGTTTTTCAAAGGCTGATTTGCATTCTGATGTCCACACAAATGGGGTAGTCTTCTTTGTCAATTGGTACAGTGGCTTTGCGATTCGGCTGTAGTTCCTTATGAATCGTCGGTAGAAATTGCCAAATCCTAGGAATGACTGGACTCCTTTGACTGTGGTGGGGGCCTGCCATCTCACAATGGCAGCTGTCTTCTCTGGGTCTGCCTCAATCCCTTCTGTACTGATGATGAACCCTAGGTATTTTGTCCTCTGGACTGCAAACTCACATTTCTGGATGCTGGCTTGCAAACCCGCTGTCTTTAGTCGGTCTAGCACTGAGTTTACCTGCTGCTTGTGCTCCTCCAGATTCTTGCTATAGATTAGAAGATCATCCATGAATGCTGTCATAAACTTGTCCAGGTAGTCAAAGAAGATACTGTTAACAAACCGTTGAAAGCAGGCAGGGGCGTTTGTAAGGCCAAAGGGGACCACCCGATATTTATAGGTCCCGTAGCGGGTTCTAAAGGTGGTCAGGTCCTCAGACTCAGGGTCCATTCGGATGCGATGGAACCCCTGCCGAATGTCCAACTTTGTAAAGTATTTCGCCCCATTGAGTTGGTCCATCAGCTCATCTATCAGGGGCAAGGGATACTGATCTCGTTTGGTTATAGCATTCAGCTTGTGAAAGTCAACACAGAATCGTAGCTTCTTCCCACTACGGGCAATCAGGATTGGGGAGGCGTAGGGGGCTGAACTTGGGGTGATGAAACCCTTTGCTAGGTTGGCTTCAAGGTAGGTCTTCACTGCCTCTAGTTCCTCTAGATTCATCTTATATAGAGGCGCATGTCCAATGCCCTGGGTGAGGTCAACATCAGGCTGGAGCTCTATTTTAAAATCAACATTCTTCCGTAGGGGGGGCAGTTCATCTGATGCTTTCTTTGAGAAGCAGTCCTCCCGGCCTTTCAACCATTCTGGTAAGTTGCTGATCAGCTCCTCATCAGACTCATCCTCAGCTCCCACTAAACCCCGCTTCTCCTCAAGCTGTTTATCAATTTCATACAGACTGGTTATGAAGACTGTTGACTTCTTGTTCTTCATATAACCATGGAAGGAAGCAGCCCCAATGAAGTTCATATCCATCATCTGTGGTGCTGTCTCCTCCCAGGTCAGCCCCTGCCTCGTCTCAGGCATCACGACTGAGCTGGTCCCTTTCAATCTGCGGAGCTGAGCCTGATGCTCCTGTCTGATCTCCTCATCCAGCTTGATCTCTCTTCGTTCCACATCCGCCTGATGCTCAGGCTTGGGGTCTGGGCGCTTCAGTACTGACCAGGGTACTATCTTCAACATCGGCTCCGCCACCTGTTCAGGGATAGACCGTTCACTCGGCCAAACCAGGCGTTGGTTTTTAACATCAAGCCATATATCCTGTGCTGCCAACCACTTCCGTCCCAGGATGACAGGGTGCTGGCCTAGGTCTGTTACCAGCAGAGGGACATTCTGAAATCTCCGGCCATCCACCCAGAGGTTTAGGGTCAATGTGCGGTCTATCACCCCGCCGGGGGCGCCATTGTATCCCTTCATGCGGCATTTGAATCGGAGTTCTTGAAACTTCCTATCAAAGAATCTTGCCAATTCTATGGCATATCGGGTATCAATAAAATTCGCTCCATTTGCTCCAGTATCAGCAAGAGAATTTGTAGAAGTAGCAATTCCATTGTAGGCTAATTTGATTGGTACATTAAAGCTTTTCCCCCCAATCAAGTCCTTCATCTCAAACCTCTCACAGACTATTGAACTACCTGAGGTGGAGTCTTCTCTCAGGCTCACTCTTTTCCCGAATCTGCTGAAGGCTCAGGGGCATCATTCCCTGTGAGCTCAGCAATCACCTGCTGGGACTTCTGCTTTGCAGGGCAGTTCCTGGCAATGTGGCCTTTTTCCTTACAGTAGTAGCACTGAATATCCGGACGAGAGCTCAAGGCCTCCTTCACAGTAGGGGATTTTGTTGTAGAGATGCTGGGGGGTGTTTGACTGTTGGCGGTCCGCAGGGTGTTCTGCTTGAAGGTATTAGGCCCATTTCCCCGCGAGCTCTTTGATTTCTGGGTGGCATTGATTGTCTGGAGGGTGTGAGCTGCCTGCGCACAGATTTTCTGAAACTCAGCATATGTATCAGTGGTCGCATTGGCTACTGCTACCATCTTCTGGAGGTCAAAGGACAGCTTGTCATTGAAGTCTGTCTTGTAGTCCCCCCTGGCAATCTTGGCCTCACCTGCCAGGTGTAAGAATTTTGTGACAAATTCATGATAATTGTCCCCATTGTGCATAATCAGCTTGCGATAATCACTCTTGGCATTTTGCAGCTTGTTAGCATCCTCATATATTGACTTGAGGTGCTCAAATATCTCTTCTGCAGTCTGATATCGCTCGGGGTGGTCCTCTTCCATACGGGGCGCAATGTGACGTGCCGCGTCCCCATCAGTCCGGTTTTCGATGTATGCAATCCTCATGCGTTCAGTAGGGTAGTGGTCAGCGTTCTCCCGGAGCTTGTTCTTCATCCGGGAGAGCCAGTGTTCAAATTTTGGCTCCTTGCCGTCAGTGAGGTGTTTTGGGTCATCAATCTTGACAGACCTCCGGGTAGTCTCAGAGGGGGTGACACCTCGACTTGCTGCTTGGTTGCTGACTGTCATGCGGACCAGGGTGTGGCTAAGTTCATTGCGTTCAGCAATTAGCTCATCAATCTGGCTTTGCTTGACAGCGGCCTGGTCAGTGGCGTTGTTCCGTTCCATCCTCAGACGTGTGATTGTATCCCTTAATGTTTTTTCATCGTCAAAGATGCCATCAAAGATCGCCGCCAACTCATTATAAACACGGTCGCTGTCTGAGTGGATTGCCTCTCTGAATTCCTCAATTGAGACGCGTGGTTGGTCAGTTGGTCTTGTTAGGAGGTATCGCCAGTCCTTTCGGCCCTTCCAGGGGGTTGGGAGCCTGTGGTGGCCATCTGATGTTGGATTGAGCCGTTGTCTTCAACAGTGCTGTTGTCTTAGCAGTTGATCTGACGCGTTGTCAGGCTCTGAACTAGCAGGTTCTAATTCAACTGAGGCACTCAAGTTTTCTGCTGAAACCTGAGTGAGAAGGTAGAAGGGAAGCTTAGTATTGTGTTAGGGAGCGAATGCGAGCTGCATAAGAAGAAAGACTCTCTGCGTTGCTAACTGCTATATAACGAAATACTAAGCTTGATGGGATGAAAGGGGGTGCTGGGGGCCTGCGTGGATTATAACCACCTGCATGGTCGTGTGGTCACGTGATATGGATTAGGCCTAATCGGGCGCCGAACTTAATCCGACGTCGAGTCTAACCGGGCACCGGCCTTCGGTCGGGCTCGGTCGGACGCTGAGCCTAACAATATGAGGATTTTTATGCTTTGTCAATTTCTACAGATAATTTATCAGAGATTTCTTAAAGATTGCAATCTCACTGATGATTCTTACACACAAGAATATTTCTTTTTTATGGACAACTTTTTTATGGACAAGCAAGACTGAGGAAGCTTTTAAGCATCTAAAATCAATGTTTATCTCTGCTCTAATCCTGCTTCAATTTGACTCTAACTGTGAGACTATATTAGAAATGGACTTCTCAGATTATATCTCAGAAGAAGTGCTGCTACAATATGATGAGCAGAGCATTCTATGCCCATGTGCCTTCTTCTCTTGCAAGTATTCACCTGTGGAATGCAACTATGAGATTCATGATAAAAAGTTATTAGTAATAATTGAGTGTTTAAAGAAATGAAACACTGAGCTACAAAGTGTAAAGAAATTCAAGATCCTCACAGATCATAAGAATCTAGAATACTTCATGACTACACACAGACTAAATGAAAGATAGCTATGTTGAATGGATATTCTCTATCAATTCAACTTCAGAATTGATTACTGGTCAGAGAAGTTGAACACTGGACTGAACACTCTATTGTGAGGGGAGCAGAGCATGTCACAGAGTACTGATGATAAGAGAATCAAGCAGAGACAAGCTCAACTACTTAAGTTTAATGTATTGACATCTGAAATGAAATCAATAGTGGCTGCTGTCAGTGTGAAATTTGAAATATCTCTTCAAGCTCAGTGAAATGAGACTCACAAAAATGATAAGATTCTGCAGCATCTGAAGCAAACTCTTTGTGAGAAAAGATTCAGATTTTCTTCTGAACTCAGCATTAATGCCTCTGTTTCTGAGTGCTCTTTAAATGAGAACAAAGAGCTTCTCTTTCAAGATTGTAAGTGAGTGCCAAACTTTGAACCTCTTTGAATCAGATTAGTATATGAGACTCATGACTCATCTTTTACTAGTCATTTTGGGTGAGAGCAAACAGCAGAAGTTCTAAGACATGAGTTCTACTGGTCAAACTATACTGCTGATGTGAGAAGAATGATCAGAAACTGTCATCTTTGCAGATCAAATACTGCATGAAGAGATTGATATCAGAGACTGCTCAAGCCTCTCCTCATTTCTGAACACATGTGGCAGGAGCTTTCTATGAACTTTATTGTGAACTTATCAAGCTCTAAAGAATACATGAACATCATGATTATAATAGACAGACTGATCAAGAGGGTTATATTAAAAGCAGTTAAGAAAACTGATGTGAAGACAGTAACTAAAGTGTTTCTTCACAACATCATCTCTCAACATGGTATCTCTAAGATGATAGTGTCAGATTGAGGATTGGCTTTCACAAGCATGTTTTGAACTCAAATGTATAAGAAATTAGACATTAAGAGATGACTCTTTACAGTCTATCACTCAGAGACTGATGGAGCTACAAAGTGACTGAACCAGACTCTGAAAATCTATCTGCACAAGTACATTAGCTTTCAACAGAATGACTGATGTAAATAGCTCCCTCTAGCAGAGCTGGTCATCAATAATAGAGATGCTATCTCAACAGGTATGAGTCTGTTCTTTTTAATGCATCTTTTCCATGTCTTCTTCATTGATATAGCTGATGCACCTTCTGTTGAAATACCATATAATCTCATTGAGTTTGCAGATAATTATATGAGGAAGACTCACAAAGTATTGAAGTGAGCTCAAGTAAAAATGACAGATGCTTAGCAATCTCAAGAGAAATATGTGAATAGATGAAGAGATCTGGCTTCAAGCTTTCAACCTGGAGATAAGATCTGATTGAGCTTATAGAACATGAGAACTAATCATCTGTGCAAGAAGCTGGATGTGAAATACAATCAATATACTATACTAGAAAAAATAGAATCTCATACTTATCAACTGAATGTCCCACTCAGCATTCATGATGTCTTTAATATAAAGCTTTTACATGCTGTAATGACAGATTCTCTGCTTAGTCAGAGGCAAACTGACTGGCAGTCACTCACTATAGAGATCCTAGAAGAATCTGAGTTTGAGATTGAGAAAATTCAGAGCAAATGAACCTACCAGAGGAAAAAGTAATACCTTGTTAAATGAGTAGATTGGGCTGAGCCTACATGAAATGATGCAAGTTTCCTACAAGAAGTAAAGGCCTTGAACACTTGAGAGACCTCTCAGCAGGCAAAACTAGATGTAAAAAGAACTTTAAATAGTTGTAAAGGCCTATAACAAAGAGGGAGAAGAGGGGTATTATAAGAGGTTGAACCTCTAGATTCACTCTAGCTGACTGACTCAGCCTAGTCATTGTTTGCACATGCACATGTGATCATGCTATGCAAGCTTGCTTAAGCTCAAGTTCTCATCTCATTCTTTTCTTCCCTTTCTCAAGCAATTTGTCCTTGTTTTATAGGAGGACTAGCCTCTAGTTCTTAGAGCTTAACCCTTTATACAATACAACCACTTCATATGTTCAACAGATTGTAACTTGAATAGTTTATTTTTCTTTTTGAAAAGTTTTCTGCACTACTTTCACACTCTATTTCTTCTTCTTCTTTAATTTGAGATATAAAACATCTTATGAGAATTGCATCACTGAATTACAGCAAGAATCTGATAAAAAGTAACTATTTTAAAAGCTTTGATTATAGAAAACAGATTGAATTAAAAGAAGATAAACAGATATCTTCAAGAACATAAGCTGCAGAATTATTGACTATCTCTGCAAGTAACAATATGAATAGAGTTGAATACAAATATGATAGATCTATCTCTGAATCCAAAGAAGAAACTAATCAAAAAGATGAAATAAATATAAATAAAAGTAATATGAATATGATATGAATGATGATGAAATACATGAAAAGACAGAATAGACAAATAGAAAAACTCATACAAAAACTAGAGAAAAACTCAGATTTCTTATCAAATACTACTAAGAATTTTATCAAAAATAAAGTTAATAAATTTTACAAAAATATAAAGATAAAATTGAAAGAGAAGCATGCAGTCATTCTCATTAAAATCAATTATTTGAAATAAAAGAGCTCTATTCTTGCAGATGCTTATTTAATTCAAATAAAAATGTTCTTAACAAACAATAAACAACATCTTCTATCACAGTTTCTCTGAAAATTAAGTTTTGAAATAAAAAAAATAAACTTCTTTACACAAGAATTTTTTAATCTTTGAATGCAACTGTATATAATTTTTTAGAATCACTGAATGAAGATTTCTCTCTAGTAGTAACTATATGAAAGAATCTTGCTTAGCACTATGCTATATCTCATGCAGAAGAACATCTTCAAATCACTAAAAAATTAAAGAGACTTATAGCTCAAAAATAGTGATTTTTATATCTATCTTGCAACTTTTCAAAATCTAAAGATAAAACTTATATCTTTAGATGAAAATTGAGCTGAGAGTATCTATTATGATTTATTTATACTAGAACTGAGAGACTGATAACAAAAATTTATTAAAATAAAGCTAGATGATTTTTATACCATCAAACAAAATTTTATTCAGAATTTAAATTTTAATGAATTGATGAATTAGTTGATTACTCATGTCACTATCACTACAACTCATATCAACTTATTTGCTGCAAATTTCATCACTAAATGATTTGATAAATATTAATATTACTACTATGAGAATACAGAGCCTATGATCAAACACTGCTAGTTCAAGAACTCAAATCTTACAAGCACTGAATGACAGAAGTATAATAAGAAGTGTATTGAGATATTGAAAAATAGATATAGAAACAAGACTAAGAATAGAGATAAAAGTAAAGATAGAAATACAGAGAATCTACTTATAAGTCAGTCAAGTCAAGTATTCTTTATAACAATTTTTTTAAATATTAAAAAACTTTTGAGAAGTCAGTCAGATTATGGGTGAAATAAGAAAAGGGTTTGATGGATACAGCAATTGGAAGACAAGATGGATTGACAAAGAAGATGGATATAATTGATTTGAGTAGGACAGTAGCTAGTCTGCACAGTAGCTAGTCCAAGGGGAGGTGTTGGAGCCTAGGCTTCCTATTATGGACTAGCGCACCGCACAATAGTATATAGCATCCCTGAGATAGGCTACCAATACAACCACTTCAGACGTCCAACATATTTGAATGAACGAGCAGCTGAATATATATAGGCAGTTGAGGTCGGAACGGATCAACCTTATCCCATATTACCAGCGACTGCACCGTAACATTTTTCATATATTAAAGATAAGTGAGATTCTGGTGGAATTAAGATTTCATGGTGTTATATAGCGCCTTGGCAGGAAGAAACTTTCGAAAGGCTCCGTACAGAGTAAGCAACCATACCTCTGCTCTCTAGCTTGGTTATCAAGGCCTTCTCAATCACAAACAAATATACCTACGATATAGCTGAGTATGATTGATCAGTCAATTGAAAACATTGTTGGTTAACTTACGAGATAACTTTGTTAACAGGTATTTGTGCCGAGGTATCAATCTCATTCATGCTCCGGATGTCGACCTTGTTCTCCATAACTCGGCCCGATCGCCCAGCCTGTTGTCAGTCGTTCAAATAATAATTAAATGATGCATGGTGCATGGATAATAGCTCCGAAACCGCGGTTATTCTCCCCGCAAAACTTATAACTCCCAACAGACCTTATAAGAGAGACAGCCCTTCCCCGCAAGCAACCGCAATCATAATCAGTCATTTATTATAATATTCTTCTTCTACGCCTTTGGGTCTCGTAGGTTAGTTAATTGGCATCTGCTATCGCACGCATAGCAGCTATAGCTATATTTTTTTAACTGTTACCCTGGTTCTCCTCTGACCCCTGTCCGCTCTCATTGTCTCCAATCACCACCAGAATATAGATTGCCATGAGCCTCCCGTCTATCAGAATAGCTTCGTCAGCTGCTTCTAGGGCTGTGAACCTTCTCCGGGCCATCCAGTTTACCCATCCTCCAAATTGCCCCTGCCATTCTAACCCCACCCATCACCATCACCATCGACATAAGTCTCTGATATCCCAACACATCCGCAACCTCGCAACACCCATAGATCCCGCACACCAGAAGGAATATGCTTTCGAAATGGCCGCATCGAGCATCAGGTTTGGCCCAGGGTCCACCAAGGAGGTTGGTATGGATTTCAAGAACCTGGGTGCCAAACGGGTCTGTGTCGTGACAGATCAAAACATTGCCAAACTTGATACTATGGAGCATGTAATCGAGGCCCTCACAAAAGAAGGGGTGGCATTCACAGTCTACGATAAAGTGCGCGTGGAGCCAAAGGATTATTCGTGAGTGTTTTACGTCTCATCCCATCATCACGTTTCTTCCTAGCGGGCTGGGCCGTGGGAGGCGGCCTAAGTGGGAACTTGATGTACTGACGAACCGCTTGGAATAGAGTCAAGGATGCCATTGCCTTTGCAAAACCTTATAATGCCGATGCTTTTCTGGCCGTGGGTATGTCTTGTATTATGGAGGTGTGCTTGGTCATGTTCCCGTCTTCTAACTGGTTAAAAACTGACCTGTTTCGGCACAGGTGGTGGATCCGTCATTGACACGGCAAAGCTCATGAATCTGTACTGCGTCAACCCCGAAGCCGATTTCCTGGACTTCGTAAATGCACCTCTTGGCAAAGGACTGCCAATTGCCACGCATCTGAAGCCCCTGATTGCCGTACCCACCACTGCTGGCACTGGCTCTGAAACTACAGGGACGGCGATTTTCGATCTTGTTTCGAAGAAAGCAAAGACGGGCGTTGCACACAGAAATATGAAACCTACACTTGGTATCTGTGACCCTCTCAACACGCGAACTATGCCGTCCCAGGTACATTCCTCCTCCGGTCTGGATGTCCTCTGCCATTCGCTTGAGTCGTGGACCGCGATCCCTTACAACGAAAGAATCCCACGCCCTTCCAACCCAATTAACCGACCAGCTTACCAGGGTGCAAACCCAATCTCAGATATCTTTTCCTTGCAGGCGCTGCGCAGTACCGTAAAATACCTTCCCCGTGCGGTGAAGGACCCAGACGATAGCGAAGCACAAAGCCAAATGCTGCTCGCTGCAACGTTAGCTGGCATCGGCTTCGGAAATGCGGGGGTTCATTTGTGCCACGGAATGAGCTACCCAATCTCTGGGCAAAATCCGGGCTATAAGCACCCAGGATATGCTGTGGGTCACGATATAATCCCCCATGGCGTTTCTGTTGCGGTAACTGCACCAGCCGTTTTCAAATTCACTGCGGCAAGCAACCCGGACCGTCACTTAGTCGCAGCGGAAGCATTCGGGAAGGATATCTCCAATGTAAAAAGAGAGAGCGCTGGAGAGTTGCTGAGTGAAACAATAGCAGAGTTTCTGATCGGGTTGGGTGACCAGCCACGAGGGTTGAAGGCTCTTGGGTTTAATTCCAGCAATGTGGACGATCTGATCGAAGGAACCATTCCGCAACAGCGGGTTCTGAACTTAGCCCCTACGCTGAGTAAAGAGCTGGGAGCAGAAAGAGAAGAATTAAGGAAGCTTTTCGAGGACTCCATGGAGTATTAGGAGATATATATTTGGTAGCCGATACACCACTCTGTTGAACTCAAATTTTCCTAACTGGCCAGGAGATGAATTGCTAGGTTAATTAATGCTGTTTTATATTCTATCTTTTCATTTGTTTCGCTAACCTGTAACTAACCATAAAACGTAGTTTAACTATGTATGTGCAGTAGTTACATGTACATAAGATACTTTCAACCAGTTGGATTTATCCGTCTATCCATATATACCCTTTTATTAACTGTAACTGTAACTATAGATATATATCGCTCTCCTATCGTCCGCCAGGTACCTCCAAAGCATCCATGGATATCAATATGATGGTCAGCCGGCGTTGGAAACGTCCAGTCCAATGAAATAATAACCTCTCCTTTCAATGGAAATGGATGTTCCTTGGTTCCAGGCAACTCAATCTCCTACTAACTCACTCTCCGGGTACCTATTCATGCCACATTTAGTTAGGCACAGGCAGACACATAGTTAAGTTATCCATCACTAATAACTAACTAGTTAAGGAGATCCACTCAATATCTAACTCCCAAGGTAACAAGGTCCACGAACAGACAGCAGCTAGCCAGCCAGCCCGGAGTTATTTAACTACGCTCGTCACCCAATGATAACATAACATGCCTTGTGGCGCTGATTTGTTCCGCATCCGACATCTGAGTTTGCTCTGATTGCGTAGATTCGCGGGGCAGAGAGAACATTGAGAGGCCATGCCAGTGACAGTGAGTGAGTATATAACAAAGGGATTGCCATACAGACGTAACTACTGTGAATATCCCTTCCCTTAGTGAATTATCATTTGCTTGCTATGTTCCTCTCATTTTTAAAAACCATCATCCACTGCACCCCAGCTAAGAAACTTATTTTCGGACAGTCTTAATACGGAGTACGACGTGAATAATCATCCTTTTTTTTAATTGTCTTCAATTGTTTAGACACTGAGGAATATATTTTTGTGCCACCGTATCATCAGCTTGCAGCTCTTCATCTCACTACAATTTCAAGGCAATCGATCTCTTTGATTTCAACACAGCTTTCAATACCATCCATCCATCACCCATAGTTATGCCTCTACTATCCGAGAACGGCGTGCCAGCAAAGGTGCTAGTCCCAGAGAACCTATCCCCTGATGGCCTAGCATTGCTCAGAACTACACTGGATGTACACGAGAAAAGAGGTCTCAGTCCAGAAGAGCTGCTGAGAATCATTCCGGACTACCAAGCATTGCTTATTCGTTCGGAGACCAAAGTCACTGCCGAGGTCTTGCGGGCTGGGAAGAATTTGAAGGTTGTTGCGAGGGCGGGAGTTGGTGTTGATAACGTTGGTGAGAATGTTTCAATGCTTTTCTTTTCTGCTGTCCCCCTTGCATCTCTATATGTCTTTAACATGCTTCGTCTTTTGTGTGTGTTATTGTTGTTGTTTACTTTAATTATCCCCATAATCTCGGGCCAGGGAATATAATCTTTGCATATTGGAGTTTTGAAGTGTTGACTAACGATCAGTCTTCTTCAAACAGATGTCCCCACTGCAACCAAGCTTGGGATTGTAGTTATAAATTCCCCTTCAGGGAATGTCGGCGCTGCCGCAGAACATACCATAGCACTCATGTTATCAATGGCCAGAAACATCTCTGAAGGCTGTTCAATCCTCAAAGCTGGTAAATGGGAAAGGAGTCGGTTAGTGGGCGTTGAAGTAAAAGGCAAAACTCTAGGAATCATTGGATTGGGAAAAGGTTCGTACCGTTCTACTTGATTTGAACCCGAAGCAGGAAAGGAACAACACACCCTCTCATACAGTATTCATTCCCGTAGTTGGCTTGATAGTTGCGCGGCTCGCCAAAGGGCTCGGTATGAAGGTGAATGCTGTGGACCCCTATGCTTCCCCAGCAGTTGCAGAATCCGCCTCTGTCAACCTTTTTCCTTCCCTCGCTGCTCTACTACCAACAGTGGACTTTCTCACGATCCATACACCCTTACTCGCATCTACGAAGGGCATGATATCTTCAGCAGAGATTTCACAGATGAAACGGGGTGCTCGTATACTAAATGTAGCTCGTGGTGGAACTGTTGACGAAGTCGCTCTTCTTGAAGCTCTAGAATCAGGCCAGCTGGCTGCTGCAGCAGTCGATGTATTTACCTCTGAACCACCATTGGCTGACTCCAGCGCGTCAAAACTAATCGCTCACCCTCGTGTGGTGGCCACTCCGCATCTTGGTGCTTCTACCGTTGAAGCGCAGGAAAATGTCTCCATTGATGTTTGCGAGCAAGTGCTTCATATATTAGGCGGCGCTCTTCCCCGAAGCGCTGTAAATGCCCCGCTGATTTTACCAGAGGAGTATAAGAAACTCCAACCGTTTGTGCATCTTGTTGAGAAGATGGGAAGTTTGTATACACAGCATTATACCTCGTCCTCCACATACACAGCAAACAGTACTGCCTTTGACCTGATCTATGAAGGTGAGATTTCGGGAATTAACAATACAAAACCACTCTTCGCTGCTTTGGTTAAGGGCCTCATTGCACCGATCAGCAATACCGCAGGTGTAAACGTGAATATCGTTAACGCAGAGCTCATTGCAAGAGAACGTGGCATTGTCGTCAACGAGCAATTTTCCCGAGATCCGGCATTACACTCATATTCTTCTCTCATCACACTGGCAGCTCGCCCGCCTTCCCGCCCATCCTCCCGTCCTCCACCGGGTGAGACAATTTCCGTTTCCTCCGCAAAACTGGTCCCCGAACAACAACAAATAATATCTGGGACATGCTCGCAGTCTCAACCTCTAATATCCCGGCTCGGTCGATTTACTACCTCCTTTGCTCCTGAAGGGACGTTGCTAATTTGTCACAATTATGACTCTCCTGGGAAAATTGGAGTTGTCGGAAGTATATTGGGAAAGGAAGGTGTCAATATCAACTTTATGGGCGTGGCCCCTGTTTCCAAGAGCTTGTTAGTGGCCCCAACAAACAAAAGTCTTGGCGAGGTCAAAGCCGGCCTTGACGAAACAGGGAGTTATGAACCTGAAAAGGAGGCATTGATGATCCTGGGTGTTGATAGGACTGTGGAAGATAATGTAGTTAAGGCTCTTGTGGAAGAAGGGGGGGCATTGAGTGTAAGTGTGCTCTCACTGTAGCTACACATTTGCACTCATTTCTTTTCCAGATAACGTCGTTCGCTTCAACAAGCTACGTTTTCGACATGATTGAATGATTCTCCAACAAGTCATTCATATATTTCTCCCTAGTGCTTTCGGGATTTTCATTTTGAACGGGTTCATTCCATTGTGCAAAAGAAACATAGATGGAATTTTGTCATGGTTAGTGAAACTTGCGAAAACATACAATGACAAACCCCATAAGGTAAACACTTAGCCCGGAGTGCCGTCTTGCGTCTTGTGCTTAATTCTATTATATACCCATTTAAACCAACCGGATGGTTGGTTAAAAAGGGAATTATGATATATGGCCTCCAAAAGTTGAGCAGAAACTAGATCAGGTATTTTTTGCTAGGAAGCCTATTTCGATTGGAGAACAGCGGCTAAAAGTGGGCGGTAAGATTATTGACATTCAGGAGAGTCGAAGCAGACACCTGGGGCAGTGCTGCTTTCCTGGCGTTTCAAGCAGGCATCTGCGGGTGGCTTGGACACCAAAGAATTTATAACTCAAAGCGCTTGTTTATACTGTACATAGATACATAAGCATACAGTCGTAAATAGTAATTGATCAATCATTGACAGTGCAACAAAGCTACGTTGACCTGTTGAATGCCCAATCTAGTCATCAGCTAAGCTGTACCATAAAAACACCAAAACCGAATATCATCCGCCAATGGTTGCCAACATAAACGGCCACTTCAATTAAGTCGATAGATACCTCTCTACTGCTAGACTACGTCATATTGGGGAAGATGTCTCATCTTAGAGGACTGCCTCCGAAAATGTCTGGCACCTTGCTAGCTCCTCCCGCAAAGCTACCGTTACTTGGAGTAAGGGCAGCCGATCTTCTAAAGGCTTGTCCGGGGGTAGATGGAGCACTGCCGTTCATACTTCCACCGGAACTCAGGGTTCCAGCAACTATTCCTAAATCTGGGGTATTGCGGCCACTAACAGGGAGATGTGAGTTGGCAGTCCCTGATAACGCCAAAGAATTAGAAGAATTCCGAGGAGGAGGTTTGAAGCCCAGTTTAAAGCCTTCGCGGAATATCTCTTCCAGCATTTGCGAGACAATGCCCGCATCTTCATATTCTTGGAATTTCTTCCAAAGACGTAGGGCCATGCGAGCATCTTCGATAGAATCATGACCTTCAGAAGCAGATGCACTTGTCAAAGCACTGATAGGAGCAGCTTGTGAGGGGTCGGAAGAGGTGACATAAGTCGTGGATATGGTCGATTCCTCCTGGATGTATTCTTTAAAAACAGCCCAAGCAAGGTAGCGAAGACTGAGGCGACGATTTTTCAATGGATGGAAGAAGAGGTACTGTGTATCCACAGTTTGTGATTTGGGGACCTGGATATTAATCTTTCGGAAATCCGAAGCCAGACCATGCCCAACGAAGACACAACCCAAATTTAGAAGAAGCCATAACTTCTTATAAGCGACTTTTAAAGGAACAAGGTTATGAGAGCTGGTTCGGGGATCTAAGTCTCCAGGCTTGATCCCTGAGTACTGTGTAACATAATCAACAATCGGGTCCTTGATGGTAATATAATCATCAATGAAAGGGACTCCTTCGGCAGCGCCAGAGCCGCGGATGACAGAAACTCGTGCAAGTCCGCTTTTACTCGGCCGAACCATTTCCTGTGTACCGTCTGCCTTGACCTCAATTTCTGCCTTCTCCAGGTCAACAAACTCGGTATCCAAAGCGACAGGAGTTCGCGCAGACGGCTTTTCGTCTGCCTGGAGAATTTGACATGCCTCAGTTAGGCGATAATTGCTGTGGACTAGTTAGAGAGAAAATAATCCGACGGTGGGTAGGAGAGAAGTAGGGTGCCAGGTTGGGATGAAAGGGGACATAAAAAAAATAAAAAATAGAGAGAACGCACTTCATGGACCACTCATAAAATAGAAGAGTGGTATCTAGTTCGTCTTTCCAGGAATCGTCCACGCCATGCCGAGCAGTTTGCACCTGATAAGCCAAACTACAAGGTGTTTTCCAAGTCTGACTAAACGCAAACACCTCATCTCGACTAACCTCTGTGACCAGAAAATCGTTAAAAAGATGCCAACGATCCATTTCGCTCGTATCACGTGAGGAAATGGCGACGTTGATGAAAGAAACCAAATGTGGCTTGTGATGGTCGGGGATATCAATTTCCGCAACTAGTCCTACCAGCTCATAGACCATAAAGCTAGGAATGTCATTTTTTTGGCGTGTTTTTAGCTCTTCGCCTTCGAAACATTGAATACGACCATCTTCGAGGAGGATCCCAACCTCTTCTGGTAGCCATCCAGGCGTACCCCATAATTGGCGGATATTGGCGTTATTGATGGCAGCATTTATCATCAACACAAGCGGCATCTTATGCACTGTTTTACGTATCGATACTTGTTGGTACCGTCGGCAGTGGCTGCACCAGCCTCGATTTTGTGTTTCACGTTCGATTGTAGACTTGAGGATACTCGAAAATTGATAAGAGGAACTGCGCCGCGACTGTTTAAGATCGATCGTAGGATAGATTAGTTCATTTACAAATGCATTACTAGGTCGTATGGTCTCATTGTGACAAAGCATGCAGCGAATTGATTCAACTGCATCTGTTGATAGTGTATGGTCTAGCTGGTCGGAATGTGGAAACATCAATCGAAAATCATGGGAGATCTGATTTAAAAAAAATCGATTGACAGACTGAATAGATAACGAAAGAGATTTGGCGGTCAGATTTTCTTCAAGGAGACCGAGATTTGCTGCTTCTCGAAAACCGCTAAACGTTTTTAACAGGTTTGTTGCTTGGCAGTTTTGCCCGTTTGCTTTATCTAGCATATCGAATAAAAACCCCATTTCGCAGAGTAAACAATTGTCGTATATGCAGTTCGTTGCTGCATGGTGGAGAGCCAGATTCCGGATCAGGGGAATAAATTTGTATAGTTGGAGAAGGGAGTTTGTGAAAGAGTTGGCTATATGTGTTTCCAACCCTGAAAATAAAGTTTTATTGTAGTACCTGGATTATAAAATTAGTATTCATTCGGAAGTTATGGGTTTGTTCGAAGGGAACCGACCTAAAATCAAAATCGTCGACGCCGAATTTGCTATATTTGATCTCGACATTACTATATTTCAAAAGTGGATCTTCTTCTGCGCCTTGAGTAATAGTTGCTTCTGCCAGATTCTTTGCAGCTTCATCCAAGTTACTGTTAAACTTGGCTTTAGCTTGTGCCCTCGCTCGCTCGCTCAAGAACTTCGGAGCGGCCAATGCAGGTTCGGGGATCGGCTGTGCACGTGTATTTTCAACTTGATACCTCCGTGTCTTACGTGGGTTGGGGGCATAGTGTCCAATTTCGCCGGCATGGAGGTATGGAGTAATAGCCTGATCAACTTGTGGAGGGATGCTTCCAATCTCGAAAACCATATGACTGGGCCAAGCAGAAAGGAGCCGTTCATGGTAATATGGCATCCCGATTACATTAAGGGGAGTATCGTTCAACCAATCCACTAAAGGAGGACGTGAAGGGGCATCTGCAAATTCGGATTCTTTGCTCATTTCGTTAAAGTGGATTTTGGAGAGAGAACCCCAGAGGTGCACTAAACATTCCGCATCGTTGACAGCAAGAGCCTCCCCAGAAGGGGAGATTTCAAGGCCAAGCATAAATGTTACATTTGCCTGTCGTAAATTAATTGCGTTGGGATTCATCAGATCAACTACTTGGAGCTGGCCGGTCTGTGAGGCTACAAAGCTTGTTGTCTGTAATTTTGGGTGCATTCGGACATAGGCAGCTCCGGCGTGGAAAGGGATTGGAGGTAAAGGAGTTAAGGTTTTCAGATCATAAACGTTCGCCAAAGGGTCGACAATCGGTGAGCCGAGATGCCGTACAGAAAAGCCGCAAGTAACGAGGTAGTCGTTCCGAGCATCCATATCATTAACAACAGTGCCATGCGCCTTCCAGCTTTTCACTACGCTAAAATCGGACAAACTTAGAGCATTAACAGAGCCAGTATCTGTTGCAGCGCACAAGTAACGGCTTTTCTTCATTATAGTATAGCGGAATTCCGTGGTAATTTTGTCCACGATGGTTCCTTTGTCAACGTCAATATGAAACATTATTGGCTGGCAACCAGCAACGATTATTTTTGAAGACTGTTGGGTGAAACTCATGCAGCGGAGATCTTCCATTTCTTCGTGCGTAATATGCCATATTGTTATGCCGCGCCGGGAGATGAAATGCACACTTTTGGAAGAAACCGATATCACCCCTTTGTGGTGAAATAGAAGCTGACGGACTGGTCCCTCAGATGCAGGGTGGGCTCTAACGGACGTATATCTCTGGAGTTCAGGCCCATAGAAGGAGGCCACTCGTCCCTAATAACAAGAGGAAGTGGATATGTATTAGTAAATTTCTTATCCAACTGATGCTCCACCAACCCCAAGCTGGAGAGGGTGGGGTGAGGGGTCAGCTCACGAATTCATTGCCGGTCCATAGCAGTTCCTGGGTGTCATCAAAAGCAATGGTTGAGGCGACAGTCGGTAGGACATGGGGCCCAGAAGGAGGAACAGCTAGCCGGGAAACTTCATCCCAATCAGGATCCATCATGCAAGATGAAGGCTCCTTGACTGCCGGCGATCAGGCAATGCTGGTTGGGATATTGGAGGTGAAGTCAGTGAATCTCTTGCCGTCAGGTCAGGTTCGCGATTTTACCACTCAACACTACCCATAGGGAATTATGCCCAAGGGGAAGCATCATTGTGAGGGAAACAGTTTAGGAAATATCTTATTAGATGATTCAAGAGGGTTTCTCTCACCAGACCAGAGGAGTAACATATAGCAGGGGTGGCAAAGATGACAAAGTAACCAATGAAGTTAGTTATGAATAACTAGTTAGTTACCAGCAGCTAAACACTCAGCTGGGCACAGAAGAATACCCGAATCAACAGTCTAGTATGAGTAATATCCACAACTTAAAGTAGATAGTACTCTACAGTCTGGGTTTAGTGCCTAAACAAGCTGTTGCACTCTCCTTCAAGCTCAAGTCAGAGATTAGCTGTTGAAATGTTGGAGATTGGGACCAAATAGTTGTGGTCACGTGAGGCTATTTGGTTTACAAAACCGTTGGAAACTTATTGCCAAACTTTGTTGGATAAATTAAGTAATTACGGGATGACAAGATAACTGGGCTCTTTGAGTGAGATATATATTTACTTGATGCTAATTGGACTACGCAAAGGGCTTTTATAAGTCATTAAGCATATGTCTGCATAAAATTCGTCAATTTGAATCCGACCTATCACCCCATTCACTGACCAAGAGGTGGTTAAAACTACTCAGGAGTGCGTAGAGGAAAACGGTGAAAGTGCAAGAAACTGAGAAGTGTCGAGAGCAAAGGCATAAACAAGAAGAAACATATGATATAAATGGTATAGGAGAGAGATGAATCGAAACACGAACGGCCAAGATATTTAGTGACGCACACAATGGTCGCAGTTGTTTAATCCTCAAAAGCCGCCCACATAATAACCACAGTGATTGGTAAGGCACTCCTTTGACAAGAGAATGTCATTCCTGTCAATTGGGGGGAGAAGGACGCGCCAGAATGATTTTGGACCGCCTGTTGTCACAAGGTAATGTATAATAAGAACACGAATAATTTTAAAAAAAAACCAGTCTCCTGGCCGTTCAACTATTCCTGTAAGGAAGCCCCGTAGTGTATCTATACACTTCTGATCTTCTTCCTATTTCTTTGGCGATATATCCAATGCTTTCAACGTCAAAGGATCCTATTTACCGATAAAAAGAACTTGGTTCGGTGTTCGGTGAGCTTGGATGATTCACGCCAGGCACCTGATAGGTTTGGTACCCACCACTAGTTTGCCCTGGTCTCACCCCAGCAGAAAGACTGGGGTACGGAAGTTGAACTGGGCTGCTAGATGGCATAGGAGGAGGCGCTTGAGCAGGTTGGCTAGGAGAGTTCTGGGAAAGTTGATGTTGTTGCTGGACGACTTGTGGGGGCTGTGACTGAGTGGGATAGGGCGGATTTACAGTTTGTGGTTGGGGTAGTAGTTGTGGGATTTCATCGGCGGAGTAATTTGGGGAGGCAAAGTCATTTGATTGTTGTAATTGCGGCTGCTGCTGCTGCGCAACGGACAGTCGAGCCTGATGCACAGGTAGGTGGTAAGAGTGCCGGATATTTGGTGGTGCGTTCTCTTGAGGGGAATCATATACCGATGTACCAAGCTCCTGAGGGTGATCAGGGGCATTCTGGGGGCGGTGGTGAACGAGGCCGTTTGTTCCGTAGGAATCCGGTGGAACATGTTGTTGATGTTGTTTTACCGGGTGCGCGCCAGTGGGTGTTCGTTGTCGAGGATCGGGCGTCTGGGTGTTAGTTGGGTAGGGTAGTTGGGATTGTTCGGACCCGTAGAACGGGACTTGACTGGGCTGAATAGGTTTTGAAGTGTCTACGTTTTAGCCGTCAGTGTTCCTCTGTGCCCGAGAAGTTTTTTATGTCAGAAATGACACCCAAGGGACAAAACACAGGCGCACCTTGAGGGTGGGGGGTATAGTAACGCTGGGGGTCCTGTGGTAGAGCTCCGTGGGGATATGCCTGGGGACCACTTTGCGCTGGATAGCCGTATAAGGTCTGGTGAGGACGTCCGTAATGCGGCTGAGCCGGATGAGCCATCGATGCCTCAAGCAAAGACTCGTAGTCCCTACGAGCTTTGATGAACTTCTCATTCAGTTGCGTGAAGTCATCTTCGAAGAAGTCAGCAAAACTAGTTGACAAGTGACACACAAATGCAAACACGTACCCTTCTTCTGTGAGTATTTACCAATCAGCTCAATGAGTTTTGGTCGTATAGCAAGAGTTGAATGGTAAAGGGTTGTGATTTCCTCGTTCTCCTGGACATTGAGCTCTGAGTTGCTGGTGCTCAAAAGTGTTAGAAGCTTCTCCACATTTTTAATCTCTGCGAACACTTCAGCTTCCATTTGCGCTTCTCTTTGGAGTTCCTCTTGGGTTGGGTCTGAAAGTTTTTCAACGTAGTTTAGGGGAAAAATGCCGGTCTGGCCGCGCAAAGATCCCTTCCACCAGTCCTTGTAAACAGATTCGAGGACTGCAATAACATCACCCCTGCGAAACTGGAGTTCTCCGGGTTCGGAGGGCTGAAAGTCATACAAAGCTCTAACGCGAGATACAGTCGCTGCAGTCGTTCCAGATGGGACATGCTGGGAGGGTGCAGGCTGGGTTTTGTTGGTTTCGCTGGCAGAAGGTTGGGTGGCTGTTTTGTTTTGGGCAGTGGGAGAAGAAGGTTTATCTTTAATGGACAGTGCGAGTGCCATTTGAAGTTCCTCTTCCTCCTTCTGTCTATCAAGTTCGGTGATTTGTCGCTTTGTTGGCTTGGACGGCGGTTGGAGATTCGGGTCTGTTCCAGCAAACAGTCAGCCACGAATCCAACATTAACACACCCCACAACACCATTCCGCCTGCCACTCACTCTGCGACTTGAGTTTCATATATGCTTGCTCCATAATTCCGAAGTCAGAATTGCTCGAAAACATCTCTGTCCATTCTTCCATTCTTTCTAGAATCTTCGCCTTCACTTGTTGGTGGGTATTCTTTGAAGATCCGGATTAGCATGGTGGAAGAGTGTGTCGGTAATGTGCGTCCACTAAGTTAACGTAAGCATCAGTTGACATACCCGATCATTTGCAAGTCGTAGTAGGGCATCTGTAAAGCTTCTCGACGCGAGCTCACGGTGCATTTTAACGCCGCAATTTTGCGAAAGCGCATTGGCAAGCTGATTCTGTTAGCCACCAAGGAACCACAACTATAACATAGAGGCAAGCCTAAGCAAGAAAGAAATAAGCATACTTCAAGGGTGTAAAGTTGCACATTGGCATTCCTGTGGGCGAGCCGTTTTATCATTGCAGCCACAGCATCTTTCGCTCTGGGAACTCGGACAAACAAAGTCAGCTCATTAACTCCACTTATTGTATCTGTGGTTCTATGCAAAGATTCCAAGTTCATACCCGGTATCCTCGCTGCCGACCTTGTCGCAAACATCCTTTTACACCATTGTTTTATCAGCATATTAAGCAGCAAGGAGAGCTTAGTTCAATTTTCCGATGGCTTAGCATACAAGAATAAACTCCCAGTTTTCCGAAGTCAAGTTCTCGTCCGTCGCCTTGGCTAAGGGAAGTTAATTCAGGATCCGTCGTCAAGATATTCACATAGGTAAACGGCAATTAGGGATTCAACTCACCAACGGCATCATCGAAGGCGTTTTGTTGCGTGCGGAACATGATTAACAATAACCCCTTTCAGATGGCTAGAAGGAGGAGAGCACAGGATATTGATTGTGTCAAATGATGATATACACGTATTCGAGTCGCCCGGGCAGATGAGAATGAGTATATATGGTGGACTAATGATTTGTCCTGTAAAAGAAATAAAATACGACAAGACTGAACCGCCAAGTGTTGAGACGAAGCTGCGCTTCACAGGCAGCCAGGTTCTTCTGGCCCACTTGAGGGTCGCAGCAGTCAAAAGCCACGAGGGGTTGTCAGTCAGGGGTGGTGGATGGTTGGTGGTGGACAGCGACGTTCTGAGTGTGGATATTAGAGGTGTTAAAAATGCGACTTGTAGAACTAGTGAGGTAGTGGTGCTCAATGCAGAGATATGAATCAGTGATGATGATGAATGAGAAAAGAGTGTTGATGATTGAGTGGAACTGTAGTTGATGCAACCACAAGATTAGTTAACTTCTTAACAAATAGCTAACTAACTAACTAAATAACTAACTAACTAACCTAGTTACTTAACTAGTTAGGTTAGTTAGTTACTTTGAATGGAATGCGGGCAGAATCAGATTATGTAATCAATCATTGATTTTTGTTCGTATACTAAAAACAACCTCATACTGTCGGAACCGAATTTTTGAAATATCTCTACAACACCACTCTATTTTACTCATACTGTGGCTCAATCTACTCGTCGGCTATCTAGGTATCGCCCAATACCAAGGAAGTATGGTGAGTAGCCAAAACACCCCGCAGGTGGGTTTCCAGCCACATAAGCTTAATGATCATGCTATTCAAATTGAAGCAGATATCAAAGCATTTAAGGAATATTGTAACAATCTGCTAGGAAAAGCAAGAAACCCCTCATGGCAAATGCTGGTAGCATTCATGGAAAGTGTTATCACCTACTGAAAAACAGTCAACACAGACAGAATGAACTGCAGATCTTCAAGTCACAGCAAAAGCTCAGAAGAAGATGAAAAAGAACATCATCTATATCAAGAACATCTTAACAGCCTCAATGGAGAAAGCCACTAGCACCTCAGGACTATTGTACACTCAAGCCACTCAAAAGCCATACCTTCTTCAGACATCTCTACAGCCAAGGCCCTCAAGTGGACTGAGGGAAATTCTAATCAAAATAGGCAACATCACCCCAGAAAGTGAAATATGAAATGCCATCAAAGAAATCATTAAAGACAGAGTCAACAAATCACTGAAGGAAAGTCTGAATCAGAATCTAAAGAGAATGAAAATTCTTGCTGTAAAGTGACACTCTAGTGAGAACATCACACTATACACAAATGATCAAGATGCAACAAGAAAGATGCAAATACACAAGAAGAAATGACTGAAAGCACTAAGAGAAACAGCACAGCTACAAATAACATTCTTTGAAATTCTCATACATGAAGTCTCTACAGCAATAGATGCCACAAACATCAAAGAGATTGAAGATAAGATAAGATGAAACAATTCAACACTGAAAACCATGAACATCATATACACAGAATGGCTGAAAAGAGAACTAGAAGGCAAAAAAGCATTCACTCTGATGATATAATTCAACAATAGCAAACATGCAGATAATGCAATCATCAAAGAAATAGCAATGAAGATGCAAATGTTTATCTGTGAGTACTACAACTGAATCTGTAAGCTGAGACAATGCTTCAAGTGTCAGAAGTATGAATATGTTGAAACTCATTGCAAGACAAAATCAGCTTGCAGATATTGTGCAAAAAACCACAATATCAATGAGTGTGAGTTGAGATCAAGAGAGAGAAGTGAAGTGAAATGTGTGAACTGTGAAGGAAAACATCTCATCTGAAGTATGCAGTGTGACATGAGAAAGATGAAACTGATCAGACTGAAGAAATAAAAAAAAAAATAGATCTATTACTCATCAGAAAGCAGCAGCACAGCACAGACAGAGTATCATCAGTGAATCATGAACTCAAAAAAAAAACATAACTACAAATGTAACACTCATCAGATTTATTCTTCAACTGAGAATAAGAACAGATTCAGAACAGAAAAGAGGACAGTTCTCAAGAAAGAGTCATAGAGTGAAAACCCAGGAAGAAGGAGAAACAGATGCAGCTGTACAGATACTATAAAAGTTAAATAGCAATCAACAACTGGTGCTATCAGTCAGAAATGTTAACAACAACAAACATCAATGTTATGAAGATCAAGAGACCTCTACTTTCACACAGAATACAGACACACTAATGATCTGTGATGAATAGTACAACTCTATCAATTCTACAATACAATGTCAACAAGTCTTGAGATTAAGTTATGACATCACTGCTTGCAAGTCAAACAGCTTTGAAGTACAATATCATAACAATTCAGAAATCATGAAGAAACAAATTTCAGAAAACCACATATCATTCAATTAAAGACAGATTCAATCTGATATATCAGAAGAATGAGAAGACTAGAATATGTTTCTTCATAAATAAAAATATAGCTAAGAACTGGATGTACATGTACCACACATCAGATCTAGTAACTCTGAAACTTTGAGGAGAAACTGATCAGAATCAATAAATTTGCATATATAACATATACAATCTGATAACACACTCACTAGAAGCAGAAGACACACTATTGAACCTGCAAAAAGCACTGAATAGTGAATCAGAAGCTGAACACATTGTTCTAGAAGACTTCAATCTATATCATCTGATGTGAGGAGGATTCAGAATGAGAAAAACATCAGAGAGATCAGAGATCTTGCTCAAGCTGATTGCAAGTCACCAGCTGAGTCTATGTCTACTGATGAGAGACAGAACACATCAAGAAAGAGAAGAGTCATCAACACTAGATCTGGTCCTGAGAACAAGTTGAATGCAAGAAAGAGTGGTATGCTGTGATCTAGCAGGCACAGAGCTAGACCATGACTCAGACCATCTACCAGTAGTAACAATTCTGAACATATCAACAGTCAAAAGCAAACCTAGAAAAACAAGAATATGGCATAGAATAAAAGAAAAAGAGTTCAAGAAGAATGTTAAAAGAAATCTGTCAATGACAACAAAATCATAGAACAGAGCAGAAATCAACTACTATCTAAAAGATATAATTAAGACAGTCATCATGACAATTGAAACACACTGCTCAAGCTCATGCATCAGTCCTCAATCAATCCCAAACTGGACTTCAGAAATAAAAGAAGCTCAGATGAAAGTGAGACAGCTGTGAAGAATTCATCAGAAATCACAAACACAAAAAACTTGAGAAGAGTATAGAGAAGCAAGAAACTACAAGAGACATCTCATTCAAAAACTGCTTAGAAAAAATCACAGAGAAAAAGTTCAGAAAGTCACAGAATCTATGCAAGATCTTTGAAAACTGGCAAAGTGAGCAAAAAATAGAGAGTATAGATCAGCACACACATCACTTCTACAATACAAACAAGGCTCACTGGAAATGGAACTGGAGAAAAAGTACAATCTACTCAGCAAATCTTTCTTCTCACTCTCAGATATAGCAGAACTGAATGATATAATCAGAGCAGAGTATCTGAAATCAATTGCATGGACAGAAATTACAGTCAGAGAAGTGCAGAAAACTATTCAAAAAGTAGTCACAAAGAAAGCACCAGGTTCAGATGAAATTCTGAACCTAGTTCTCAAGATACTAGAAGAAGAACTAGTGTCAGTTCTTACAGATCTGTTTAATGCCTGCATGGAACAAGAATACTGTCCAGACCACTTTCAAAGATTCATAACAGTAGTGCTCAAAAAGCAAGAAAAGAAAGACTACACTCAGACTAAATCATATCAATCAGTGACTCTACTCAACACAATAGACAAACTACTCAAGAAGATCATTGTCAAAAGACTATCATATTGACTGGAAAAGTATGAGCTACTTTCTGAATTACATCTGAGAGGAAGAAAAGACATCTCAACTAAACATGCACTGCATTGATTACTGAAAAAGATAGAGACAGCACTTAAAGAGCAGATGACATCTAAGACAGTATCTGTACTATCATTGAATGCAATCAGTGTCTTTGACTATATCTTGCATTCAAGACTTACTCACAATCTCAGAAAGAGAAAGATACTGATAGTTGTAGTGAAATGAATTGAAAGCTTTCTAACAAATCAAAGAATCTTAATAAAACTACCAGAAGAAAGTTCAGAAGAGAGGAATATCAAATCAGAAATATCATAAGAATCTCTCATGTCATCAATGCTTTATCTGTTCTTCAATGCAGATCTGATGAAAGAATGTCAAGATACAGAGAGCAATACAGCAGCTGTAGACTGGATTGATGATATGAATATAGTGACCACAAGTGAATCAGCTGAAGTGAACTGCAGAACCCTGGAAAAGATACACAAGAGGTGTAACAAGTGGGAAAAAACTCATGACTCAAGGTTCAATTCAATCAAATACAGTCTGATTCATCTTTTCTACAGATCTGAAGAACTCAATAATCATCAAATCATGATTATAAGAGAACACACTATAACTTCAAGCTGATGCTGCTGAATTCTGAAACTTCTAATAGATGATCAGCTCAAGTGAAAGAACTATGTGAAAAAGTTGAAAGTCAGAACAATCAAGACATTAGAAGCTCTCATCAGTCTAGCAGAATTCATCTGAGACACAGAATATAAAGAGCTGAGAAGCATATACAGAGCAATAATTCTACTGCCAATGACTTTTACAGCATTGATGTGGTTCACATCAATTGAGAGCACATCTAACTATAGAGCACTGCTAATAAACAAGCTGGAGGCTATTCAAAGAAAAGCTGCTAAAATTATTACAGACTCATTCAAGACTGTCTCAGAACCAGCACTGAATATAGAGACACATCTTTCACCACTTCAACTATACATGAAGAAAATAACAGCAGAAACTTATCTGAGACTCAAAACAACATCTCAATGAAAAATTCTAAACAGGGTTCAGAAAGAGAAAACCTGGAGAGAATACTCACATGATTGAGAAAGCCTAACAAGAAAGTGGACACC